TCAAGTATTTTTGTGAGATTAATTTTAGAGAGATTTTTTAAAATGCCAATTTTCAAGTGCTACTTTTAAAAATGCCACATTTTAAAAAATTTGTAAAAATGCCACTTTTTCAAAAAAAAAACATTATATCGTTTATGTTTGGGTTAACAATGTTGTATTAGAGTTTAGTTTTCAGGTTTAAAGAGGTTTTAGGGGTCAAAACATTTTTTAGCGTTTATAATTTTAAGATTTAGGTTTTAAAAATCTATAATTTTGAGCATTTTTGCAAATGGACACTCCTAAGTGGCATTCTTGCAAATATACACACAAAATGTGGTATTTTTGCAATTGTCCCTTAATTTAAATGGGTATAAATTTTAGTGGACTAATTGCAATAAAAGAATAATTTGTTTTCTCATTTAAAAATATGGTTAATTTTCATAAAATTTAATTAAAATCAAAAAAATTGGAAAACGCCTAGTTACATGTACATATAGTATTCAACTTATGTAGTTTATTAATATTTAGCTAAAGATATCAATATCTATAGTTGTGTATGATTGTGAAGACAACATTCATATTGTCTTCTTAGCCGATAATTGGGCTAATAAGGAACTGAGATATTTTCTTAATGAGTTTGGGCTAATTTAGTTAGAGATTTATTTTTTTAATGAGTTTGGGCTAATTTAGTTAGGGATTAATGGGTTAAAATGCCATGTCACATTTTTTACAATGTCATGTCATAATTAAATTGGAAGAGTGATTTTGGTGAAGACACATAAACAAACTCTCCAATTAATATATAAGGGATATTGAGATTATTTCAACCCAAAATTCAGATAAATCTCTAGAACATATTTTTCCTTTTTTTTTATTTCAAAATTTTAGATGGAAATGTGTCTTAAAAAAGAAAAAAAAATGTAATTTGCTTAATTGATAACAAAAATTATTATTTTTTTTTATAAATCTTGCATAGTTGCACTAGGGAACAAACGATTTCGTCCTCTTTTTCTTTTGGACATAAATCTTGCATAGTTGCAATAGGGAACAAACGATTGGTCCTCTTTTTTCTTCCTTATCTTGTACCACTTTTCATTTCCTGGGTCCACTATAAAACCATGAATATATCTGAATTTTCAGAAAAGACAACACAAAAGTTCTGAGGCCAGTTCCTTTGGCGGTCAAGCCAAGTAAAGCAGTAAGGGAACCCAACAAATTTTCAGAGAGATATCCTGCATAGAAAGGAAAACGACTGAGCTGACATGGTTTACAAAAACTTAAAATCCAGAAACAAGAGGCAAGTGCAAAATGTCCATAATGGACTCATTTTATTCATAAAATCAACATTTGTTGTTTTGGAACAAAGACCGTAAGAATTAGGCAAGCAGTGGAGATGATAATCATCAAGGAATGGACGAGAAAAAAAAAAAACTAATATTATCTAACTCAAAGACTTTGTCAAGGGACTTTTGCATACTGTCGTTTAAGAACAGGAATTGTACTTTGCTTCCTATATATTCAGTGTTCTTGTGTTGAACGATATACACCAACCATAGAGAAATCTTAAATTGACCTGATTTGGAGCATCATTCCTTCAATCTCTGTAGTGTTAGTACCAATCTGTTTGTGGACATATTTGAAGAAGAAATAACTCAAACTGCTTAAAACTTTAAGCAAGAATTTTGAAAGCCACTGCCTTGAGACTTGTCCTCTGAAAGGTTCGCTAGATAGAGAAATCCTACCAAAGACAGAACTAAGAGATAAGAAAGTAGTAAAACATGTTGACAATATCGATTTATAGGAAGAAAAAAATAAATTTACTACCGGTCTTTGAATTTCAATAAACGAAACTTTCACGGTATAAGACAATGAGAACTATTCTAAAGACACACATATGTGAGACGGTAAGTAAATAACATGAATGCATTTGGGAAATACAAATGAACAGATGACCAAAAAGTGGAACATACCTCTGATTTTGTTACCCAGGATTCGGATAACTGCACTGATGGAAATGGCTCGCAGTGGATCACACTAACTATCAGCTTTTTTTCCAGTGGAACTTCCAGCTCATGTTTAACCTCCTTTCCCACCTTTTTTCGAACATAGACCCTAGCTCCAAGGCTTATCACCATAACATCAAATAATGAAGCCCAGACCGTGAGGAATTAAGAATCGAGGCATGGTGTTTGGTATCCAGGAAAAAGAGTGGCGAAATAATCATATACATGTTCATACAAGGATTCGGCGCTTGGAAGGCTAAGGGTTTTTTCTTAAAACGAAATGGAAGAAGGTGAACTGAATACGGGAAAAGCCATGTGGCCTCTCCTTTCCTGCTGCTGATGTGTCATCTCGTGGAGAGAGCCATAGTGCTTTTCATATAGGTAGATAGTAGATGTCTAAGAAGAGCACATCATGTTTTTCTTCTCTAAATCCAGCATAATTAGTCCGACTCTTCATCCCAAAGGCAACACCAAAACCGCGTTTTATAATTTTGTGTAATCCAATCCAATCTTATAAATTACGGATTCCATAAATCATCATAGTCAAACTCAACACCAAAATCCATTTCAATACAAGATCTCATTCTCGAAACATCCCACCACTAAATTTCAGCCATGACAGGATCACAAGAAGAAGAGACTCACCATCACCATCACCAACCTCCGATCATTGATCAAGAACATCCCAAAACCCCCGAAACAGAAACAGAAACCACCACCAACAACCTTCTTCGTCCAGGCCGCGACGGATCCAAAGAAGTGGGGGACTCACGTGATGGGAGCACCGGCGGCTCCGGTATCTCATCCCGATAACCAACAAGCAGCGGCGTGGGTCGCCGGAGATAACCAACAGATGCAGCAGCAACCTTATATCGTTTACTCTCCTGTCGAACATCGTCCGAATAATAACCCTCTTGAGCCAGTCATCGGAATGTTCAATACATGGAGCCGTAAAGCCGGAGATAACTATATTGAATGGCCAATTTTATTATTTTGCTCAAGGCCCAATATTACAAACCGACTTTTACAATTGACGATTGCTTAACCTCCACGTATAAGACGGATCTTTCGCCAATAAACTTAAAGGCGTGATCACCAAGGCAACGAATCAGACTTTTTTTTTGCATCTGTTCTCTTCTATCTTATTATATAAATCTTCCATATTTAAGTAAATATCCTTTTCTAGTCATGAAAATCTTTGGAAACTAGGTCACATACGTACGTACATAATAGATCTCTTGACCAAAACTTTATTAAGAAAACCTTTAATTTCCGTACACTTAGGGTTTCTTACGACACAGAGAAAACCTCATCACTACATTACTTTCATTCCAAGTAACCATGGCTTCTCCGTTACTTGGTCCACCAGAGCTCCGACACTCCAACTCTAACCTCCCAGAACCAACCACAGATTCTGGTCCATCCATGGAGCTAATAGTCTCAAGCTTCAACAAATCAACCATAGTCAACGACGACCTCTCTTCTCCTCCTCCTATGGGCCAGACACGTACCTCTCCATGCCTTGACTTCTTCTTCCACGTTGTTCCAAGCACTCCAAAGGAATCTCTCGAAGACAGACTCTACGAGGCTTGGAATCACGATGCGTTAACCACTCTCAAGCTTGTATGTAACCTTCGTGGAGGCCGTGGTACTGGAAAATCCGATAAGGAAGGGTTTTACACGGCCGCTTTATGGCTCCATGATTATCATCCCAAAACCCTCGCTTGTAACCTCGAATCTCTCTCGAAATTTGGTTACTTTAAGGATTTCCCAGAGATTCTTTACCGGATTTTACAAGGCCACGAGATCCGCAAGACTCAGAAATCTGAATGGAAACAGAGGAAAATGGCACTCCGGTCTCGAGGTAGTACTAGAAGCGAATTTTTCTCTAACCGTGTGGATGCAAGCCGGAAGGACAAGAAGGTACTATTGGGGAAGGAAGCATACACTAGGTATTGTCTCGATCCAGACTATAGATTTCTCCACGAACGAGTCTCCGATCTATTCGCAGATCACCTGAGAAGAGATATGGAGTTTTTGACTTGCGGCGAAACAAACAAGATCTCTCGAAATGGTGTCCTTCGATCGATTCATGTTTTGACAGAGCAACTCTGATCTGCGAGAGCATCGCTAAGAAGCTGTTTCCACGTGAATCCTTCCCGGAATACGAAGGTGTAGAAGAAGCTCATTACGCGTACAGAGTCCGTGATCGGTTACGGAAACAGGTTCTTGTTCCTCTCCGTAAAACTCTGCAACTTCCGGAGGTTTACATGGGAGCGAGCGATTGGAATTCTCTTCCGTACAATCGAGTAGCATCGGTGGCGATGAAATCGTACAAGGAGATTTTCCTGAAGCGGGACGCGGAGAGATTCCAGCAGTATCTAGAAGATGCGAGATCGGGGAAAACGAAGATCGCCGCCGGAGCTGTATTGCCCCACGAGATCATCGGAGAATTAAACGGCGGAGACGGTGGACAAGTGGCTGAGCTTCAATGGAAACGAATGGTTGATGATATGAGAAAAAAGGGCTCTTTGACGAACTGCATCGCTATCTCCGACGTGTCGGGATCTATGAGAGGTACTCCGATGGAGGTTGCAGTCGCTCTGGGTTTACTCGTCTCTGAGTCATCTGAAGACCCATGGAGAGGAAAGCTTATAACTTTCAGCGAAAACCCAGAACTGCATTTGGTTAAAGGAGACGACTTGAGAAGGAAAACAGAGTTTGTGAGGAGAATGGAGTGGGATATGAACACTGATTTTCAGAAAGTGTTCGATCTGATTCTGAAAGTTGCGGTGGAAGGGAGAGTGAAACCGGAGGAGATGATCAAGAGGGTTTTCGTGTTCAGCGACATGGAGTTCGATCAAGCTAGAGTTAAACAATATCGGCGTTATGGTGGATGCTATCAAGAGAGGAATGGTGGATGGGAAACGGATTACGAAGCGATCATGAGGAAGTACAGGGAGAATGGGTACGGTGAAGCTGTGCCGGAGATAGTGTTTTGGAATCTGAGGAATTCGGGTTGTACCCCGGTGACGGGAAGTGAGAAAGGAGTGGCATTGGTGAGTGGGTTTTCGAAGAATTTGATCAAAATGTTTTTGGATAATGACGGAGGGATTAGTCCAATGAAGATGATGGAGGCTGCTATATCAGGAGAAGAGTATGAGACGCTTGTTGTAATTGAGAACGATGTAATAAGCAACAAGCCAACAAGATATAGTAAAGGAAAGAATAGAATGAAGCCCAAGGTCATCTCTCGGCCAAAACCTGTACTGAGTTTTGGATTGGAACTTTTAGGTTTTGGATTGGATTAGATTAAGAATTATTGTACCAAATTCAATCCAACTAAAATTTGGATTGGATCTCTTAGCTTTTGGATTGGGTTTGGGTTATTTCTATCTCAAGATGCTCTTAATATCACAGAAACACATGACCACCTTCTCGTACAAAGGGAAAGATCTCAAAAGACCCTCTAGCTGATCTGCAGAAGAAGATGGAACAGTTTAAAGTGGCTTCAGAGAAATATCTTATATGAGATGTTCCAACTGAAAACTCTATAAATTACGACAAGGAACAAAAACAATTTACATGGCAGATACAAATCCAAAGGCTAGTGTGTACATTCGCACATGAAACCTTTTCTTACTTC